CTGCTGCTGCTGCTGCTGCACACGAAGCAGCTGATGGAGGAGGAGACCTTCCGGACGCCAGCACCGTCTGCAGTGGAGGCGAACAGGCAGAGGAGCAGTGGGAGGAACAGGGCACCCAACACTCGCAGGTGACTCTGCTCCATTGGTGCCCCGAAGACTGCCTGCCAGGCTGGTCGGCCCATCGCCCCAGGAAGACTGACTGAATAGGGTGTGTACGACTGCTTCGTGGTCACCGCTCAGGAAGGCTGCATAGTGTCGGCCCAGTGAGCAGTGGAAGGCTTAGTTTCCGGGCATGGTACTGCTACCTCATATGATCACTGGCCGATGTGCACCACCACCAGTGATTTGGGAAGGGGAAGGTAACTGAGAGTGCAGGCACGACCCTCAAAAAGAATACGGTGCAGTTTGTCCCCTGACAGGACCTGTGTGGTGTGTCGCTAAGAAGCCATAGAAATACTGGGCAATTGGTAAATTATACCAGTCAGAATTCCGCAGAGGAAGCAAAGGGGACGGTGGTGCAGTGGCCCACTTCAGCTGTGTGACCAGTGGTCGGCTCTCTATATATAGACAGCAATCTACCGTCAGGACTATATAATCAGCCAAGCCGAGGTCTCACAGATTGAGCAGCAGTTGCTTTCTGCGGAAGGGCTGAGACCGGTCCATTTGGAACCGCCACCAGCGGGGATGTAATAGTGAGCTATATACCGCTGGGAATGCCTTCATTGCCACTATCTCCCCACTCTCAACGCTTCTGCACTGCACTGGGCTATCCACTGTTCTGGCGGTAGATGTAGGTGCTGATGCGACGCGTGTCGCCCAGTGGCAATCGACAGTGGGGCCAGGGTGTATGCCTCTGGGCCCAGCAGGCAACACCACCAGCAGCACTGGGCGCTTTGTTCGCCGACGTAGCTGAACATTTCCCACTCGGTAGATGTCGCCAGCTTTTTTCGGCACCAGTCTACTTTTGATCGATTTGTTGTTGCAGGCAGCCTGTAAGCCTTAGATTGAAATCTCCACTTGACCCTTTATTTGCGCACAAATCTAGATTGCGGTAAGTGAAACGGATTGACATTTTCTACTTTTCAGTGAAGACGGCACTTCTTGATGCTCACTAGTGGTGGCGCATGTTTATCCGCCACAGACAACAAACAACTTTCCGCATCATATTTACACTCAATTCTCTTTTACAGAACCTGAATTCTGTCTAGAATTCTAAAACCTGATCTCTTCTCTTGAAAACATTCTTTATAAGGTAACCTCTCTTCTTTTGCCTTACTTTTTGAAACGGAAATTGTAGAAAAAAGAATAACCGAGAAACATCTTATGAAAAGGAATACGACGACAAAGACGACGACGACAAAATGTCTGCCAAAAGGGAATCGAGAGATGATGATGCCAAAACTAATCTCATTGTAAACTATTTGCCTCAAGAAATGACGGATGAGCACTTTAGAGTGCTGTTTGCAAAATATGGCGATATCCGTTCGGCAAGGATTATAAGAAACAAAAACACCAATTACTCCTATGGCTTTGGATTTGTAGATTATTTCAATCCGGAAGATGCCGAACAAGCCATTGAACATTTGAATGGCTCTGTTCAGAATGGAAAGTCCATCAAAGTGGCATTTGCTAGGCCATCGAGCGATGAGATTAAAAATGCAAATCTGTACATCACAAATCTGCCGCCCAATTTCACCGAAAGCAAAGTTACCAATTTATTTTCTCCTTACGGTGAGATTATACAGTGCAGACTTCTCGGGGGAAATCGCCAAGGTTCGGCCTTTGTGCTTTTTAATCTCCATGAGCAAGCTCGAAAAGCTATGAAGGCTCTGGACGATCACCAGATACAGGGAACAGATTGCAGAATCTCGGTAAAATTGGCTTCAAGTGAGGTAAATGAATATCAAAATGTGTAAATGGCGATTTTGAACAACCACAACTTGTTTTCTAGTCATTCAAAAAGGGCTTTAACCGACAAGAGAGAACCAATTACAATGGAAACTACTCTGGCAACCAGCACTCCAATGGCAAGTACCATAACCGTCACAAACCTTCTGGTCCAATTCGCAGTACATCTCATAGCAATCGTGAGTGTGCGGGTGGAACTTTTCACGCACTGACCGTACTAAATTCATTGTTTTGTCTCCCACACAGGCTACAATCCCATGTCGCAGCAATACGGCTTTTCCCCTGACATGCTTCCGAACATGTACGGCTCCGGCAACCAGTACTACCAATCTTCGCATAATAACTACGATAATCATTACGATGACGATGATGGCGGCGGCGGAGAGCACATTCTCTTTGTTTACAATATTGGTCCAGACCCCGATGAGTCTGAGCTCATTCAGCTTTTTGGTAACTTTGGCCATGTTCTGGACGTCCGTCTTGTCCGTCACCAGGAAACAGGTAACAGCTTCCCTTTGAGAGCTTTTCCCTTTTTAATATGTTTGTTTTCAAAACAGGCGAATGTCGGGGATACGCGTTTATCACCATGAACTCACATCATTCGGCACTGAGGGCAATTGACGGACTGAACGGCTACCAGTACTACACCAAGCCACTGCAAGTGTCATTTAAGAAAGTGTAACACACGTACAACTCAACTGTAGGAAACACATGTCAGAGAACAGCAATTTCTTTTACTACCGCTAAGCTATCACTTCTTCTTGAACTCGCGATTGAAACGAGTTTTATCATTTCTCTATCGTATTCAGTTTGTCATTTTCCCTTTTCTATTATCTCAAAGTAGTGGCCACCACACAGTGAAGTGTGTGGTGCCAGCTTGTGCTTTCTCCTCTGTCTACTTGTCGCACACAACTAGGAAACGCAAACACCCGCAATAAACTTGATTCATTGTTGGAATCAGAGCGTTCCAGCTGGCTGCCCGAAGGAGGATATCATTCGAATTTACTGCACTGTCTGCACTGGCTCGTTGCACTAACCGCCGTCAGGTGGCGAATTTCAGCCTACTGTGCGCCTCCTTTTTGCCGGTGTGAGCCAATCACAGACTGCCAGATCTGCACTACCACTTTGCCAGCACCGGGCGATTCATCAGCAATCATCACAGTCTTGTTGATCAGTCCAAGTCATCGTCATCAGTGTGATTTTACCAGTGTGATCTCCCACCTCTTCAACCACAACTTGAACTGACCACGAGAATGTACCGTTACGGCCTTGCACTTCTCTTCTTCATCTCCTGGGCGCAGAGTACACTGGCTCTTCGCGAGGGACAGTGTGAAGGTATGTCTTCTTTGTTGTGGTGGTGGCAGTCGCCTTGAGCGCAGACATGCTGCCGGCTTCGGGTTCATCAGCTGATCCGCATGCTTTCCTCCTTACTTGCAATAGTTTGTGTTGGCGTCCTCAACAAACTGGCCTCGAAACTTGGCGCCGACGAAAAGTCCAACCCCGAGCTTATTGAACAACGTTTTCGCGAGCTATGCCTTGAGACGAAAAAAGCCGAGAACCGATTNGCAATAGTTTGTGTTGGCGTCCTCAACAAACTGGCCTCGAAACTTGGCGCCGACGAAAAGTCCAACCCCGAGCTTATTGAGCAACGTTTTCGCGAGCTATGCCTTGAGACGAAAAAGGCCGAGAACCGATTTGTAAGTTCAGTCAATCGGCTGCGAAAGGTTTTTCTTTAACCGTTGCATTCTTTGAATATAGTGCTACTACATTGGTGGTTTAGAAGAGTCCGCAACTAAGATTCTTGGCGAAATGTCCAAGCCTTTAAGTTGGAGCATGCCAGCTGATAAAATTTGCGAAAAGCTGATGAAAAAAGATCCTCAAATCTGCGACCTTCGTTACGGTATGAAGTTCCTTCAATCTTGCTAAATTTTCCAAGTTGGACTATAAACTAATAACTTGAACTTTTTGATAATTTGCAGAGAAAACGATTGACTTGAAGACTGTTGATCTGAAGAAGCTTCGCGTCAAAGACTTGAAGAAAATCTTGTCTGACTGGGACGAGGTGTGCGACGGCTGCATCGAGAAGGCTGAATTCATCAACCGAATTGAGCTGCTTAAACCAAAGTATGTTCGAGAAGAGTTATGAGCACTTCTGAACAGAATGAAACACATCTAGCCTATTTATTTCTAGCCTTTTGTGATTCAAGTCAAGGCCTCTCAAGATACTAGGTACTTTTTTAATACAATTCCTCTGTACATACTCCTGTGTCAGGTTCTTTTTATTTATTGCTGACATTTGCTCTGTGTAATAAATACTAAATAAGTTTAACAAATTGTCAATAGTCCAAAAACAACAACAACAGCTTAATTAGCAGTAGTATAAAAGTTGAAAAGGCACTGGTAAATCAGGAAAAGGTTAAAAAGATTATGGCAAAGGGCAGCAGCAGCAGCATCAACCGTTTGAAGCGGTATTCTCATCTGCCTCTTGAACGTAAATCATCGTGATGACAATATCACCAGTGGACAGCGTCTGTGTGCTCACCTCGCGACATTTACTTTCCAACGGCCGACTAATCTTGTTGTTGCCGGCGGTGCCATTTGTTGAGTCGCCATTCAGCTTGGCAGATTTGCCGTTCTGATGGCAGTTGCAAGAACACGGCTGATGTTGGTTAGTTGCCTTCGCCGAGAGGGAAGAGGACTCGTCGGTGGAGTTGGAGACGTATTCGCCGACAGTGGCCACCATGTACTCGTGTGACTTGAGTGAAGAGTTGAGCGATTCATTCTCCGTTTCCTCCTCGTCCATTCCCATTTCCTCTTCCTCGAGCATCTCCTCGTAGTCCAAGTCGTCCAGTTCGTCATCGCTCAGGTCACACTTGCCAGCGTCCTCTGATTGCATGGCCTTGTTCAGTCTTCTTCCCTTCTCAGTGCAGTCATCGGCAGTTTCAGTTCTCGGCGACGCATCGATTCCGTTAACTTTTTTGCTGTCGAACCGTTTTAGCTTTTTCGCTACGTTCTGAGGACCTTCAATTTTATTTCGTATTTCATCGGTCAAATCAACGTACCTAGAAGGATGGAATCAGTTATTGGTAAGTAAAGCTTCCAAAATACTCTAATCATGTTACCTTAGTAGCCGAATCTCCCGATTGCTGAGGACAATCTTTTTCTTTTCATTATTAAACAACTTCATCTTTAAGTCAGTAAGCTCTAGGTCAAACTTGCGCTGTCGTTTAATTTGCCTAATTTCATCAGTGTTGATGTAGGTAAAGATTGACTCGTAAGTTAGCTGCTTGAACAGTGGCTCGTACTCTTGGCGAATTCGATCACGCATTGTTCGGTAGACGTTTGGTAGGAGGGCCACGACGTCGGTCATGGCGAAGACCAGCATTTCGTCATTCAGTGGCCTCCTCTGCCAGTATTTGAAGTCCTTTCGGTATATCTTGTGAAGCTTATCCTTTGCCTTTGGATTCAGATTCGGTCCTCCGTAGAGACTGCACAAGGTGTACAGTGAGATGTACTTGGTTGGCTTGTAGGCAGGTTTCCCCGTCGATTGTTGCTGTATTATAAGATGTGCGACCTGAGTGTCAAAGACGTTGTTCAATTTGATGTCAAAGTTCTGCAATTAAAGTCAAAGGGTGGTCAGTTAAAAAAGCGTCGTTAGTACTGAAGAAACCAGACAAAAGCTTACCTTGTAAAGAGCTGCACTGTTGTTTCGAATGTCATGAGAAATTTTAACTATTTGGTCCGATTCGAGTAGGCTCTTGAGACCTGACTTGATCATGTTCGGGCACAGAAGAACATCAAAAATAAACACACGCGGAACAAGTGTTTCTGCTGATGCCCGGGCAAAGTCTTTTGAGTAGATGAACGCCACCTGCACTAGTGTCACTTCTCCTGATGAGCCTAGGTTGATGCCCTCAAGGTCTAGGGCGACCTCGGTGCAGTTTCGAAAAATGTCGGCCACTACATCTTCACACTCCTTAAGGCTGGACACAATCTTTGGCTTGATGAGCTGCAAGTCAATGCTGTCGTAGAAAGTGTCACTGGTGTTCTGCGGCGAGTCGGAAGTGTAGAAGCATTCACCGGAGTATATTTGCGAGCCAGAACATCGCGAGTCATGTTGCAAGTTGTCAGTTACAGCTTTGATTATGTGAGATCTAAATCGTTCGTTGAGGCTTTTTGGCGATTTCACTGCACTGGGGGTGATCGAGGAGATGGCCGCGACGGCTGCGGATGCCGGTGAAGATGATGGCAAAAGGTTGACACTGTGGGCGGATTTTGACGACTGACTAGTGGGACCAACTTTCAGCTCTTGGCTAGGCCTAGTAATATTCTCGCTGTAAAGGTAAACAAAATGGTTTTATAAACTCGACATCAAATTGCCCTCAATCCCTTTTACCTTGACTTGTTTGAGTCAAAACGTGTCTGAGATTCAGTTTTGGCTTGGCGAGCTGCTGTAACTGTGGGCGCTCTTTGAACATTACCTAAGCGCAGTGCTTGCTCTCGGTCCGCAGTAAGACTGACCATGTTGCTCTGTACGAGAAAGACCCGCGAGTTCATGTGAAGAAAGGTGAGCAAATCACTTGACTGCTGGACAAAGTTGCTCCACAGAGGAGGCAGTTTCTCCTTTGACCTGATGGTGTTGAAGAGCAATTCGACTGAAATTTTATTCGAATACTGCTCCGTCAAACTGAACAGCGTTTCTTCCAACTCGTTTACCAACTGTTGCATCAAGTAAGGGTCAAAACTAATTTCTTCTGGCATTCGCTTCAGTAGCTCGTTCGTGCCGTCCTTCTCCAGCTGATCCAGCACTGATTTGAGCACTACGTAGTCATCGCGAACGACAAAAGTGTTGGCTTGTGCGAAAAGAAAGTCTTTAAACTCCTTTACGTTCTGTCCGGAGACATGGCGAACTTCTGAGGACGCCTGGGATCTATGACCAAAGAGGCTTTTAAGCGGAACTTCGGCATTACCGTAGGTGACCAATTTGTTATAAAAGAACTCCACCGTTTCCTTGGTGTAATCTCTCGTCGAAGTGCCGTATCTTTCATTCGACAGCGGTGTGATGGTCACCTGATGGGGAAATCATACAGTGTTATACAGCTGAAGTCTGGACAGACAAGACTGCACTTACGTTGTCGCCATCAATGGTGAACAAGCTAGGAAACTGGCTTAAAAACTTTTTCAAGCCTGATTGGCTGCCACCGGCTATTTGGCGCATCTCCTTGGTGAATCCCTTAGCACCGAATTGACACGAAAGATCGTGAAGCGTCCGAGACTGTCCCTTTTCCATGAGGTGGTCAAGGAAAAAGAGCAGTGTCTGATCCCTAATGGAATCAAAATCGGCCATTTTTGATCGGTCAAATTTTCCAAAGTGCAAAACTTTTGTTTTATAAAATAATAAATACTAAATGCATTTAAAAAATATGGCTTTCATGTAGAAATCACAATGTTGAATCACTCATTATGGATGACTTGAGGTGCATAGAGGTGATGAAAAAAATGATGGCACTTGTTGTACAAGGCACGAACAAAACTGAAATGTAGTAAACATCAGCAAATGGCATGCGCCACAAGGACAGGCGAGGAGGAGGTGGCGGTGGTGGTGGTGGTGGTGGTGGTGGTGGTGGTGGTGGTACTGAAGCCACCGATACGTACAAAACTGGTGATGGTATGCGAGCGCAGACGGCTGGTGTGATGCTCAAGTGCCTTCGAAATCATGCTCACACCAAACATGAACCTTCCTGCTCACAAGGTACAATGGGCGATAGGAACTAGCGGGAACACAGTGGTACACCGGTGGAAATCAACAGTGGACAGCGGCTACATCCTTCCAAGGCAGTGGTGCTTGGGTGCACCGTCGAGATGATAGCGGAGTGAGAAGGATAGGAAGAGAGGGGAAAGCGGACGGCGTCGTCGTAAGGTCGACTGTAGCTGGAGAAGAAGAAGAAGCAGTGAGAAGTAGGAAAACATTTGGATGACGCAGAGATGCGGTGTGGCGGCTGGAGAGCGGCTCGAAGAGCATTCAACAGTGGTGCAGCCAACAGTACAAGGAAGACAGGAGAGGAGGAGAGGAGGCTACTTCTCTGATGGCTACTTGATGGCGGCTTAGATGTATTGGCGGCTGTCGGTTATCGCTTATTCCCTTCTCCTTCCTCGTCGCTGCCTGTCTCCAGTAGAAGCTGCCCAGTGATCGGCGATGATGGCAGTGTGAAGACAGCCAGTGAAGACGCTTTCGGCGACCGGTGCTCTGACAAACGGNTGCCTCCAGTAGAAGCTGCCCAGTGATCGGCGATGATGGCAGTGTGAAGACAGCCAGTGAAGACGCTTTCGGCGACCGGTGCTCTGACAAACGGTGAAGTTGTTGTTAGTAGTTGCTGCAAGTGAGACCACTGGTGAGTAGCAGCAGTGCCAGGTTGCCTGCACTACAAACTACCACCGCTGATGAGCGTAGCACCTCGGTGGACGGCTTCGCAGCACTTCCCTCACTCACTCTTCTCATCATGGTCAGTGTCGCCTGGCAGGCAAAAGGAAAGAGGGACTTCGAAGCTGGTTCAGGCGACAGCTCGAGGCAAAGAGCCAGCAGCACTGGCCACCCACCTGGACTGACAGTGGATCAGAGAGAGATTCTGTGGAGGTCAGCACAAGACGTCGTTTCCGTACGGTCAGCACATTGCTGCTCACTAGTCGCGCAATATTCAAACTTGAAACAGTGCAGATTATTTCACTTTTTTAATTCGTGTACACAAATCTTTGTATTTACAGTCAAGGAGCACTCATATCTGTGTTCATATTGCCGATTCTAGTCTAAGTCTGGGTTTGCTTTCGATTGTCGAAGTGTTGAGTTCAGAAGCTTTATTTCTGTAGTAAGAATGTATTTCTCCCGGATTTGCTAGATAAGTGAAACCATTTCGCGGTACTTTGTAGATGGTTCCAGGGACTGTTTCAGGAAGGCCAATTGTATTTATGTCACCTTTTGGCGTCTCATGGGTGGCCTGTTGTTTGTGACTAGTTTGCGGGCTCATCACCTCGCTCTCGTTGCCACTGCCAATCAGCGGAGTGACCAGTTGCTCATCCTTTCGCTCTTCCTCTTCCGAGTCAGTGTGCTCTGCTCTTGAGCCTGAAGAGCTACCGTCGTGAACTGTGCAGGAAATGACAGCACAAATGGATGCAAAGATGATCAGTGCGCCGCCAACTGAGGCTAGGATGACGATAATGGTGAGTGGTTGGAAGTCATAGTCCCACTGGTTTGCGTCCGTTTGCTGGTACAGCGTTCTCTGCCTGTACGTCTCAGAGTTAGGCAGTGCTCTGGTGGAGACGCGGAAGATGACGAAGAGGGCAATGGTGCCCAGGAGGATGAGCGTTCCAGCGACGAAGAGAATGGTGGCCAGTGTGCAGAAGAAGAAGCGTCGTCGTGAGGGGACCTTGATGCCGGAAGGGGCGGGATTCT